TGGGTGCTGGACCAACCCAGTCTTGTAGTAACATTTTACACTTTGAAGGTGCAAAACGCATACTGAACAAGGCTACACTAGCACTCAAACTACACAGAAATGTTTGCAACTTACCTGCGTCTTCGCTTAGCAGCACAATATCGTCTGCGTACTCCAAATCAGATAGTCTGCCACCTGGAAGTATACATTCCGAAACACTCGAAGACTTACTTCTACGATACTAACCCATTCACTCCACCCCACTTGGGGCAGACTACATAAGCATTGATTACCTAAAACCAATAGGCGGCGGATGTCTTCTACTCGTCAACTCAAGGTCTCACAATCGTAAGGTAGAACTAATCTTACAGTAGCGCAATATACGCGACTTTTCAACTTCAGTGAAACGTCACGTCGTCGCCACAGGTGTTTAAGTCCTGCGGACGTTGCTTGAGCCTTGGAACTGCGGGTGTTTATCTTCTTTGATGCGCTACCGTCTTTGGTCACGCAGATACCTAATTACAAGAAGTAGTCAATGTCAGCTAATTCTTGACCGTCTAGTTTCAGAACAGACCTGGGTGACACCCAGTTTTACAACATCACTATGCACTNGTGCAAAGCATATGCAGAAGGGAGCGACAGAACTTTCGATTCTGTCAAGTGCTCTTTGTGCATCCTCCATACATTCGAACAGGAAAACGATGTCGTCAACGTACTCCAAATCACACAGCTTTTCTCCAGCTGTCCATTCAATATCAACATTTTGGAGACCGCTTAGTGTGTTCTCTAGTATATCGTCTATGACAAAATTGAACAGGGATGGCGAAATAAGGCACTCTCGACAAACACCGCTGCTAATTACGAAAGACCTACTCAGCTCGCCGTAGACCCTTACGCTACCAGAGGTATGTGAGTAGAGTGAACTCAGTATGTTCACGTACTTCCGATGCACTCAGTGTTCCAACTTGAGCGTTAAAATAACCTGCGAGAACAACTATATCGGAGCTTCGGCTCAACCGAATGAGTTCGACGAGTTTATCATAAAACTCGTCCTTTTGTGCCTCAGAACTACATTTGGTTGGTGTATACGCTGAAATGATGAACAAACACCTTTTGGACGCTGATAGACCATTGTAGCAGCATCGCACATAATCGAGTGATGACCGGGATCCAATCGAGTAGTGCAGCTTCGGTTGTTTTATTGAGTACAATGCCCACGTCACGCTGGCTTACAGAACGGGCTTCGTCATCACCTGACGTGCGGAAGAACCTCGAAGACAACCCCAGTGCACGTAAGTGGCTTATAGTACTAGAATACTCCGTTCGCGTCTCGGATACGCAGCGTACATCAATCCCAAAGAGTCCATTTTACGCGCCAGACTCGCTTGTTGACCTACGTGCATCAGAGTTCTCACGTTGAAGGCCCCCAGATTCAGTGTTTGACGAGGCTTCAGAATCTGTGATCTATCCGGTAGTTAACTACTTAACGGGCTACTTGGCGACGAACTTTGGCAAGTGACCAAAATGTTGTC